AAAGCCGCTCGTATGACCCCGGACGCGACCTCCTACTACAACGGGTCAGATCTTTATCTAGTAGAGGCCATCTAAAGTATAATGTCAGATTGATAATGTATGTTGCAACAAAAGGTGTCATATTACGTAATTACGTATAAACCAAACAGTATGTTAAACGAATTTCTAGACAATATCGATCTCAGTTTTAATAAGCCTATTTTATGATATACATAATGTATATATATTTACTATATAAACGCCATACGACTTGTCAACTTTGTAAACGTATTAAGTTTATTTTTCATTGGGATTTGACTGGATTATTATTAGATGATTTAGCCAGACGGAGGCAATAAGTATTCTACATAAGTGACGTATGGACCTTAAATTTGACTACTCGCGGCTAATTATCTGAATGGCTAGAAAGGAGTGATAATTAGTAAAGATAATCGATGAGGATTGAATTCTGGACTATTAACTTGGGTATTCCTGGTGGTCAATTAAACGTTTTGTGAAGTTATTCTCATTTCCGCCGGTATTGTTATGGTTACGCACTAATATGGTTGTTTATCTCATGTTTAGACATGGTATATTATAATTAAAATCAATGACAGTTGATGAAGATGGCGTAAAGTCTTTAACGACTGTATAAACCGGTGCTTGTGATAGTTGGCTTGGTTATGACGCCTCTTTCTTCTGATATATTTTTACTCGACCACATAGTAATTTGAAACAACCTGTTGGTGTTATCAGTCGCTGTCTTATTCGTTTAGTCAGGTAATATTAAACCTACGAAAAGGCTACTTATTATCCCTGGAACACATGAAACAACACATCGTTTATCATACATAGATAAACGTTTTGTGGTACCTTCGTTAGTAAATTGCAAAATGAGTTTAAAGACGAAAAAGGAACCGATAACTTGAAAGATTGTACAAACTGGAAGCTAAAGATATCATCGACATTGCAAGTTAGATCCCTACTCCCGACATAAACTATGCGACACCGTGGGCGTTGTGCGAAAATTTTCGTGTACGGTATAACATTCCATTCCTAAATTTGGAATATTGGCTAAACACGGCCATGAGACCGTGAGATCCGCTCTGCATAGGCGTGAGTTTCATAATGCTGGATCAGTTCAAGCGAATCTTATTTGTGTTTTTAAATCGCCAAATTCTACTTGAAAATAGTGGTGGATTATTATAAATTGTGTCGGATGTTGCAAGAAACGATTCCTTTTGGCGCACAAAGAAAAATCATGGTGAAAAATAGACGGCAAGGATTCGAAAAAAGCCTTAGAACCGAAGTGAGGGAGGGGGGCCCATTTTCATATTTTCAGCTATAAAAGGTCCGATCAGAGAGAGAGCAAAAGAAGGAGAGAGAGAGTGTGTGGGGTTTAGCGCCAACTCGACACAAACTGGGTAATTTCGGGACTAACATATGGTTCAATTTTATTTCAATAATTCACTTGCGCGTAGGGGTCTTTAACAGTGTGAGGAAACCGGAGGACCCGGAGAAAACCCACGAGGTTGGAGGGTCCAATCAAAAACTGTTCCTAAAGGAACCAGTAATGTAGTTGAACTAACTGCATGATGACGCATTAAACACATTATCTTTCCTCCGGGATAGATTTGAATATTTGTATCATTATATTTTCTAGTTCTAATATCTGGAGGATAGTCATTCTTTGGTTGATTGATAACATAAGTTCCTTGTTGTATAATAAATAATATAAAACTTATGCTGTGAGTGTTTTTATAAGGTTTGCACAATATAGATTTTAGATTGCATATTTCTCGAGGGAGTGGGTTTGGTTATTTTAGTAGCGATTGATCAGAAAGCTTTTGTCTCAATATGTTCAACTCACTTGGCTAAACCGTTAAATTTCCAAAACGTTTTGGAAACATATCTTCAGATGAACTAGACTTACATTTGTAGTATTAACCATGTATCCTAACCCTTTTATAACATTCTGACGGCAATATTCGTCTGATATGGAAGAAAAATATTCCATTTGATCCTTCTGCTTAATGAAATACAAACACTTAACCAAAATTGGTTAGTGTTTCGTGATTGATTTGATCTGAACGTCTCACACTATGTAAACTAGATCAAGATAGTTTTTGAAACCTTATTCTTTAATAAGTTGATATTTTTTTTAATTATTGCACGAGAATTAAAAGATTGCATAGTTCCCAATATGCTGTTGTACTATTCAGTGAGTTGGTGTTGTATTGTGGCTTAATTAATGATATTAATTGAAAGGGAACATCTGATTAAAAAACATGTAAATAATTTATGTTTGTTATTGCGGTTTTTCAATATAGTTGCCCTGGTTTTTCCACACTCAAGAGTAGGACGTTAAACCCCATTTCATTCAATTTTTTGTCCACACTCTTGATCTACCCACTTTTAGAGAGTAAAGTTATTCGCAGATTTACATTAAATTTTCAGGAGTAGTCTACTTCCTGTTTACGATTAGCCTTGTAGATGTTGAGGATTGTGCAATAAGATTTCCAGTGTTGTTGCCCCTGTTGCTAAAAGTACATTACCACACTCGTAAATTGTACTCTCTCTACAGAGTTTAGTTCTTTGTGGATTATCATAAAATTATCAGGGGTAGTTAGTATTTGGCTAACACTGGTTCCAATCCAATCTATTTGGACGTCATTTTGCAAAATTAGTTCCCGAGTTACGACCCCAAGCTTAAACAATTGTTGTTACTCGAAGTTAAGTTCTGTGTTAATAAATACTGACATATATGATAGATACGTGCTCATTATAAGACTAGTACTCACTGTAAGATTGTAGATACGCGCCCATTACAGACGGGTACTCATTGTACCGTATTTGATTATGTTTTTAAGAATAATATTGTACCTGTCCCGATAACCCCAAACTCAACAACTAAAATTCAATACACTGACCAACTTAAAGTGTTGTGTGTCTGAATAAATCTAAATGGTGGTTCTGACCTAATATTTTGCATACAATCTAATTTGCACACCTCCGATTGCACGATATAGTCGAATTACGGCAAATCAATCGGCTAAGGATTCGTGAATGCATACTGCCTATTATAGTCTGTAACATATACAGTTGTTTACTTGTTAAACGAATTGGTGTGTGGGATAATGGATGAACTTCAGGCGGTTATGGAGATTATTGAATTTAAAGAAAAGTAAGGCCAAGTTATTAGTATTACGAAAAGGTGAAGGTCATAATTTGGTTATTGTTGAACGAGAATTTTGTTTCTATGGTTTTAGAAATTCAATCAAGAGATATTTGAATCACATATTCGATCGGTAATCCCCAAATGGAGTTGACCTACGATTGCGCAAGTCCGATGTTATACTGGGGGAAGATAAAGTCCAGGCAATGTACACGAAGTAAAGAATGCATGCGGACTTAGTTTTAGCGATAATTTTTTACACATTCAGGTGTGAGTTATAGCGATAATTTTTTACACATGTGTAAAAAGGTCTCTTTTATCGTCCACTTCCGTTATTTTAATATGTCTCTATTTTTATACACCATCATAGGGAGAATACGCGATCATAAACAATATGGCTTCTAAACAATCTATTAAAATAGTTAGGCAACGTTATCACTCAATTTGCAGTAGTATTAACATTGTAGCTCATAACATTTTTTCGGATTTCTCTACAACATGTACGTACCCGTATCCTATACATGGTGCATACATGTAACTGGTTAATATTCCCTCGTTTGACTGTGCCTTCCTTGGGGATTTATAGTGCAATTTGTTATTGACAGTTCTGGTTGGAATTGGATACCCTAAGGAAACTAAGATAATTAATCCACTGCTGTATTTACAAATCACCTACCAGACTAATTAATCTGCAAGTCCCATAAAATGATTGTCATATCAATGAGAGCACGCGGAAAAGTTTCCTATTTCGGTGTTGGAACTTTAATCTACAGCTCCCTTGTGGACATAAAGGAACCAAACGGTGTCATATCTATGACAGCATGTGGAGGGGCTTCCTATTTCGGTGTTGGAACGTAATCTACGGCTCCCTTGTGGAAAATTAGGAATCAAACGGTGTAGAATCCCCAAAACGCCTTCTTTCAACTATGTGGGAAGGTAAGCTGTCCATTTTGAGATTTTAAGAAAGTCCGTCTTAAATTTGTAAAGAATCCATATTATATTGATTGAAACCTTCCTGACCTTTACCATGTTTGGTAATCTTTTACGATTACATATTTTTTCTAAACTCTTAATGACACTTTTTTTATATAAATTTGTATAAATACAGAGGATAAGACGATATGGCATTCCCTGTTTTCATTGTTTGCTTCTATGCTGGGAATGGTAATTAGTGATATTTTTGTTAAATGGCCAATCAATTTGAAGAGTTGTATAAAAGAGATATTTTGTCATTTATTTCCGAGAAACGTTCGAGTAGACCTAAATTGGCCAGTCGTTGCTGTTGTTTTAGTTAGTTTTTTTTATCTTAAGATCTGAAATCTTTCACATAAGAATACTTTTACCAAAATCATTAATGGTTATCTAAATAAAATTGCAGCTATTCAATTTACGTTTAGAAACGTTATCAGATTCTTATCCGGTATCATGCAGTGGCTATTACTCTCCAAGTATCGCTCTTCAGAACATGGTTAGATTTTTCTATAGCGCATTTATAGTAACAATTAAACCCATTCGATTATTGGTCACGGTGCGTGAGTTTGTCAATGGTGGTGCTGGTTTTGTAAGAACTGTGCTTTTAACACGACAAGCTCGAATACCGCAATAGTCAACAACCAACAAACATCGCTATTGCTGCTTCATTGTTTTGATATTTACCCAAGCCATTAGCTAGAGATTTAAACCTCTTTTACTGACTACTCGTCTATATAATGAGAAACGGTGTAATATTTCATAAACATGTTTTCTGTTTTTATGATATGATAAAAGTTTGTTAAAAGTTTCAAGTCGTTTATAACTGATAGAAGGAACATTAGAAAATTTATTTATTTTTTTGTTCTGTTCACAGATTGTAATCCTATGGATAACTAGAACGTGTAAATTCCTGGTAATAAAATCTGGTTGTTCATCTGCTTGAATCAGTGAGTATATATCTTTTTTGTAATATTGTTATATCACCACATCTTATATAAAATCTGTTTAAAGGAAATTGAAATACGCAATAGCATGTGGTCAAGTATATTGCTTTAAGCATAAAGAACAATTTTGGTGTCCACCAATTTTAGACATATAATAGAAATTTTAGCATATACAATTTGCCATGGTCGATCCGTAATAACGATTTGGAGATTCGGAAAGTGACGCAAATAAAGGAAATCAGCTATTGTTAACAACTGAAGTAGAGAACGGTAACAGCTCCACAAAAGATTTTCAACTCCCTGATAATTCCTGTGAAGACGAAAAGTTGTTATATTAAAGTCAGGAGATGTCAGTTCGAAACCAACTATTGACAAAACATAATTGATTGCCACCAGATATGTCACAAGCAAATAAATTAATACCAATTCTTTTGAAGTTTTTTATACTCGGATCTGCTTTAACAAAAGCGAGTAACAAGAAGATATACAATCTGGGATAAATAGTAATGTGTGTCCTTGTATAAGATAAGATGCCTTAATCACAAAATGCATTCATCTGACAGAAAAAATAAACCCTTTTGATAGCAGAGCTAATTATTATATATATGCTTTATTTACAGAACTTCATTAGGGAAATCTATATATTCTATGTCAATTCCATTTTTAAGAAGGGTGGAATTCGATTTTTAGCTAAGAGCTGGAAAATAAAGAGCTAGAAAATATTTTTTAATGTAGCTTTTGAGACAGCTTTGATGATGATCGGTATTGGTGAAACTGTTGATTTACAGTCATAAATCAATGCAGTTTGCTTTTATAGAGCATTTCCATTTCTGCCGTTCACTGTAGATAAGTTGGTATTTTTGAATAGGGATTTTGCCGATTCTTTGACCAAGGCGGCAACAAAGTGATCGAGGGATATTACCATCCCATTAGTATATAAATACACTTTATTAAATTGCTATGGTGAACCAAATTAATCATAGAATATGTTTATATAATTTGATGTAGGTTATTGTACAGAGTAGAATATGTACCCATTCTGTAGTTTATTGCAGAATAAATAAGACATGACTTTATGGTTAAATGGATTTTATCCCAACTATATACTGTAATGATTAGAGACAATATAATCTCACAATGATTTAATACAAATGATAAACATAGCCTCATGTTTTCCAATGGTTCGGTATTTCTGATGTTTCAACAATTTATATATTGAGTATATGTGGAGGGTGTAGTGCTTGAGGATGTATAAACTAGTCGAAACAATTGGTTGTTAGATATTTTACTCATGAATATCTTCCGGGCCTTTAAATCACCTATGTGATGGCGTATAATCCCAACATACAGTTAAATTATTCTCATGGTGTCTATGTTATTGAGGACGTAGGAAGTCTTTATAGAGATCCGAAAGAAGACACTCGTTTTAGCTATTGCTATTTTTGTATGGATAGCCATATATACCAAACTATGCAATATTGATATAAAACAGTCTGATCATTTGTCATGTGTATCATATCATAATTTTTGATACGGCTAATTTGTTGGACTTACACGGCACAAAACACCAGCTGAATTATTTGGGGAGCCGTCAATTATGAGATGAATTGAATATCCAGTTCCATCATATTATATTTAATACAATTAACAGTAAAATTCGACAAAATCTAATGCCAACTTTGGACAGAAAAAAAAACATTATTGACGGTGCAATCGGGGGGGGGGGGGGGGGCTTTTATGAATATACGTAGGCAGGGAAATAGCTAAACACCATTTTTCGATTGTTAGTTAGTGTTTTTTCGTATTTTTAAAACAATTGTATTAAATTCAGGACATGTTATGTGGATGTAAATCATTTCTGAAATATTCTGGTCAGTTGTCAGTTCATTTTCCACCTTAAGATTTAGAAGTTCATATAGAAACAATTTGTGCTACTCTTTAAGGCATAAAAAATGTTGGTATGCGTGTGATTCAATAAAGATCAGTTAAAGTTTAAATAATAAGTCTGCCAATTTCATTGAATCCACAAAAGCACTTCCTGCGTGTAAAGAATCTGGTCTAAACCCGACGTACTTATTCAGAATGCTTTTTAAGTTACAGGAATCTTTTAACCCGTGTTCCGCACAGTAGTAATTCGAAGAACTTTCTTTCTCAATAGTTATCACAAACATATCAAAGCTATCGTGCCACTAAAAACAAATTTGTCACGGATAACAAACGGAGCAGTGTAAATTCATAGAAAATAATATATTCAGTGTCATTGAGAATGCCTGTTAGCACGTTTTGGCTATATTCATTTCCTATTGGAGTTGCGTATATGAAAATCCATCAATGTCGCTTGCAGAAATAAATTAATTACCATTTGTAAACACGTTTAGTGCGATAGACAGTACATTTATATGAACTAAAAACCTACACTTAACATTTTTGAAACTCACATAAAACTTACTGATAATCTATCTCCCAATCTGATGTATTGTTCAATAAACTTGTCAACGTACTTTCAATGTATCACCATTGGTAAATTAACGTGTGTTTATAGTGATTTTTGATGTATTTTTTGACCGCAGATTCGTATAATAATGTTAGTTAATAAATCGGGTAAAACCTTTTTGGCTATTTCCACAATACTTATAACTTAAAATGAAAGATTCGTAACGGTAATACATTGTCATATTCATCATCCAGAGACATCATGCGTGGGATACGGTATTATTAGAGGCCTATATTTATAGATATTGAATGTACGAATGCTGATTTTATTTCATAGTATTACTAATTGCATTGTCTGTGTTATCTGACTGGGCTATCTTTAGCGAGTTGTTAATGTCATCAATAATATTTCTACTCTATATTTAGACCACATAATAGATGTTCTTTATTTGTATTTAGTTGTCTGGCCATTAACAGATATGGGGTAAGAGTCACAGGTTAAATAACCGACTAAAGTAAAAAAAATTGTCACAGATCATGGTCATTAGTTGAATCCTGTAAATGTCTTTTAACAAGCCTTGTTTTAAATATACCGTAAAGATCAATAAACCAAAACTGGAAGGGTTATATTGGCAGGGCGTGCCCCCCCCCCCTTGTCAGTGGTTTAAGACAAAGGGCCTGTCAAGGGACAACGTACATGTATAATCGGTCAAATTGATAGGAAACACCGACGTTCCGTGTACACATTGGCGAGCACATAACATTAGCCCTGTCGGAGCAGATAAGTAGGGCGTTAACCCCATTTCATTTCATTTACTATATTGGCAATAACCCAACCCGTCCGCTCCCTTGTCTTGCTTTTTACGCTATACATTCAAATAATAAGCGTTTGGTTGTCTGTAGTCATAACCAAAGGAAATTATGCGTTAAATTTGGTTAATAAGACTGAAACATTGAGTAATTATGACACCTTAACACAACCAATGTCTCCAATGACTTTAAATTTCCTAATATATGTATATTGTCAAGTGCAACATGTCTTGCTTTTTTATTCAATTGTCAATTTCATAGTTTCTTTTAGAAGCCAGTAATTGTAAAAGAGGCATATCAAAATTATGCAGTCATTAATTTGGTGTTAACTAATTAACTCCAAAGTTGAGTCTGTGGTGGATTAGGCTAACATTTATATTTAAAGGGCTGATTTCTTCAAGAAATATCAGCAGCTATACGTTACATTACTGTAATAATATTAATAGATTAGATGTACATTGAATCACATTGGTTAACTGACATAACGCAAATGACCAGAAAAACAAAATATACTAGAGAATGAAATGGCTGACTTCTTCAAAAAGTATCAAAAGTACATCTAACCGATGTTATTCCAAGTACACCTAACCAATGTTATTTCAAGTACTTCTAATCAATAGCATTCCTAGTACACCTAACCAATGCTTTTCAAAGTACACCTAACCAGTGTTATTCTTGACTTGATCGTGAAATGGATAATCGAGATTATGTTTTTTTTGTACCGACTTTAGTAATGATGATCGAGGCTAGGCCGAAAATTCAATCGCTAAAATCTCGGTTCAGAGTGGATCAATTTGACAGAAATTTCCAGCAAATTCCCTTTATATTATCTCGTTTTTAACTATTATAGTGCGAACTGCCAGCTCTTTGTCTAATCTCCCATAATGTATCATTAACTGACATAACGCATATTACCTGAAAAACAAAATAGACTAGAGAATGAGAACCTAACAAAATGTACTTTACTATTATTATTATATAACAGCTATAACAACATAAGTATTATTATATAGCAGCTATATCAACTTAAGTATAAGAAGGTAAACAGTAAACGACAATAACCTTTAATCATATAATGATACCATATGTTATACACCTAAATATATAATATTAGGTATGTCTATTATTGTACTGACAGGTAATACATTAAAGTCAATAGATTTTTTGAACATGCAATTTTTTTATATACGTTTGTATTAAAAACCAGCTGGTCCTTTCGACGTTATTTGAGAATAAAGTATGCTGCATGTATTATTTATTTTATTGAATAGTGTAAAATTGAAGTAGCGTGTTGCCTAAATTTTTAATAATTTGAATAGAATGCACAGTGCTAGCTCAATCGATCTTGTATGTCATATTGTAGAATCTTGTATAATAAAAAAAACAGTCCACATATCGTAAGAGGATAATGGGGCTTTCTTTGTTTCCAAGAAATTTTGTCGGTAGACAGTTTCCATACTGTATGGCGTAGCACTAAATAATTTAAATAGGTGTTACTTTATACCAAATACAGCTAATGTTTGTGAGAACGTTATTATCTATTGCGCTATTATAGATTCAAAATTCTAAATTTGTTAATGTCGTGCTATCGTCTAATTTCTAACTTCTATTCATGTAATTTCTAAATTAAGACAATTTATTATCCAATGTCTTTATTTGTTCAGGTTATATTTTAATTCTATTTCATCTTTCATTTGATTTTGATTTTTACAGTTGAGCCAATTAATATTTATAGACTGTTGATCTATTTTCTATTACTG